TAGTGAATTTTGAATTTATTCAGTATCTCATATCAGGAGTTTAATAAAAGTATAAGGGGTTCACCTTTATAAAAAGATGTTTTGATTTTAGTTTGGTAATCTCAGAGAGTTAAACACCAAGAGAATAGCTAAGTGAGTAGGCTATTAAAAATGTGTAATTGGTTTTGGGTTAAGTTTTGAGTAAGGAGTTTTATGAGACTTTTTTTATTCTAAAAGTCCCACAATTGTAAAGATTTATTTGATAGTGAATTAAGTTTGGAGTAGGTCATTTTGAGTTGGGTCAAACCAAATATATTTGTGTGTTCTTATTCTTGATTTGAGCTTGCTGTTTTGTGTATGATTGATGCGTATGGGTGTTGTTTTTCTCAACAAGTGGTATCAGAGTTGTGGTAATCCCCAACAAGTGGTATCAGAGCGAGGTTCGAGGTTTAAGAATCGTGGGCCCAAGAGATCGTGAAGCAGTGTTTCAAGATGTCTAAAGAAGGTATGTCTGGTATGCCTATGCCTAAGTTTGAGATTTTCTTATTTGATGGAAAGAGTAATTTTATGTTATGGTAAATTACGGTTCAAGATCTGTTAGTACAATAAAGATTGGATCAGGTATTAGAGAATAGTAAGCCTGAAGGAATGTCTGACGCTAATTGAAATAGGATTCAAAAGAAAGCCGTTGGTACTATTAGATTGACGCTAGCTCCAGAGGTAAAATACAGTGTGTTAACTGAGAGTACTCCGAAGAGTTTGTAGGATAAGCTTGAAGGTATTTATGCTTCGAAGTCGTTGACTAATAAATTATGTTTGAAGATGGATCTGTATTCTTTGAAGATGAAAGAATGTATGAGTTTTCATAATCACCTGAATAAGTTTAATAGATTGGTTTCTTAATTGTTAGCGATTTCTGTTGATAAGTTAAAAAATTAAGAGAAGGCTTTAATTTTGCTATCATCTTTGCCCAAGTCTTATAGGCCTTTAGTTCAGACTATTTTGGTAGGCAGGTCTACTTTGAAGTTGGATGATGTGATTGACTTATTGCGTGAGAATGAAAAGTTTATGAGAGCTCAAAACTCATCACATAAGGGGAGTACACTAGCTGTAGAGGATTTTGATCGGGGGAAGACTCAAAAGAGGATTGATGGATCAAGAGGGAGATCCAAGTCAAGAGACAGAGATTACAGTAATATAAAATGTTATTATTGTGATGAGAATGGACATATCCAAGTGCACTGCAGGAAGCTAAGAAGGGATATAACTGCTTTTAAAAGGACGAATGATGAGAAAAAATCAGATGAAGAAAAAAGTGATACTACTGCTGTTACGTCTGATGATGATGATGTTGTTTTGATAACTTGTGTGGATGAGACTTAGACTTTGAAAAGTGATAAAGGTTGGGTTTTAGATTCAGTTGCTACAGTTCATGTTTGCAATGATAGGAGTTACTTTGTGGAGTTACTTTGTGGAGTTGGATGCGAATAAGAAGTATGGAGATATTATGATTGCTAATAAAAAAAGATGCAGATTCAATGTATTGAGAGTGTTCGCCTTAGATCTCACAATGGTGTTATTAAGACACTTCGTCATATAAGGTATGTACCAAGTTATCACTACAATTTGATTGCTTTGGGTGAGTTAATTTCTCGGGGATACACATATTATGGTAGTAATGATTGGTTAAAAGTGTACAAGAATGATAGTGTGATTCTACAAAAAAATAGGGTAAAAAATCACTTGTATATGCTTGATGAAGGCTTAATTGCTGGGATCCCTATAATGAAAGAAAAGAAAAAAGGTAAACGTGTTAGCTTTACAAATACTGTTGAAATGTTTGGAGATTCAAATCAATGGAAGCTTTGTTGAGATTTACCTTGAAACTCATAATCCCACATCGAAAGTTAGTAAGTTTTGAATTTGTCCAGTATCTCACATCGAGAGTTTAGTAAAAGTATAAGGGGTTTCACTCTTATAAATAAGATGTTTTGGTTTTAGTTTGATAATCCCAAAGAGTTAGACACCAAGAGAATAGTTAAGTGAGTATGCTATTAAAATGGTGTAATTGGGTCTCATAATTGTAAAGATTTATTTGATAGTAGATTAGGTTTGGAGTAGACCATTTTGAGTTGGGCCAAACCAAATATATTTGTGTGTTCTTATTCTTGTTTTGAGCTTATTGAAAAAAAAAACAACACTCACATGCAGAATCATACACAAAACAGCAAGTTCAAATCAAGAATAAGAACACACAAATATATTTGGTTCGGTCCAATTCAAAATGACCTACTCTAAACCTAATCCACTATAAAAAAAATCTTTACAATTGTGAGACTTTGAGAATGAGAAAAGTCTCCTAAAACTCCTTACTCAAAACTTAACCCAAAATCCAATTACACCCTTTTAATAACCTACTCACTTAGCTATTCTCTTGGTGTCTAACTCTCTGGGATTACCAAACTAAAAATAAAATACCTTATTTATAAGGGTGAAACATCTTATACTTTTACTAAACACCCGATGTGGGATACTGGACAAATTTAAAACTCATTAACTTTCGATGTGAGATTATGAGATTCAAGGTAAATCCTAACAAATCTTTCATTAACTTAAATCTCCAAAAACTTTAACAGTATCTGTAAAGCTAATACACTTACCTTTCTTTTTTTCTTTCATCATAGGGATCCCAGCAATTGAGCCTTCATCAAGCATGTATAAGTGATTTTTGACCATATGTCCTTGTAGAATCACATTACCATTCTTGTACACTTTCAATCAATCATTACTACCATAATATGTGTACCTCCGAGAAGCTAACTCACCCAAAGCAATCAAATTGTAGTAACAACTTGATACATACCTTACATGACGAAGTGTCTTAATAACACCATTGTGAGATCTAAGGCAAACACTTTCAATGCCTTGAATTTGTACTTTTTCTTTGTTAGCAACCACAATATCCTCATACTTCTCATTCGTATCCAACTCCACAAAGTAACTCCTATTATTGCAAATATGAACTGTAGCAGCTGAATCTAAAACTCAACCTTTATCGCTTTTCAAAGTTTGAGTCTCATCCACACAAGTTTTCAAAACAACATCATCATCATCAGATATGACAGCAATAGTATCACTATTTTCTTCATCTGATTTCTTCTCATCATTCATCTTTTTAAAAACAGCCATATCCTTTCTCAGCTTCCTGCAGTTCACTTGGATATGTCCTTTCTCACCATAATAATAACATTCTATATCATTGTAATCTCTGTCTCTTGACTTGGATCTTTCTCTTGATCCATCAATCCTTTTTTGAGTCCTCCCTCAATCAAAATCTTCTACAGCTAGTATACTCCCCCTAGGTGATGAGTTCTGAGCTCCCATAAACCTTTCATTCTCACGCAACAAGACAGTCACGTCATCCAACTTCAAAGTAGACCTGCCTACCAACACAGTCTGAACTAAAGGTCTATAAAACTTGGGCAAAGATGATAGCAAAATTAAAGCCTTCTCTTCATCTTTTAACTCATCAACAGAAATCGCTAACAATTGAGAAACCAATCTATTAAACTCATTCAGGTGATTATGAAGACTCATACCTTCTTCTATCTTTAGAGAATATAGATCCATCTTTAAACATAATCTATTAGTCAACAACTTCGAAACATAAATACCTTCAAGCTTATCTCATAAATTCTTCGGAGTACTCTCAGTCAACATACTGTATTTTACCTCTGGAGCTAGCACCAATCTTAATAGTACTAACAGCTTTCTTCTGAATCCTATTCCAATTAGCGTCAGACATTCCCTCAAGCTTACTATTCTTTAATGCCTGATCCAATCCTTGTTGTACTAACAGATCTTGAACCGTACTTTGTCATAACATAAAATTACTTTTTTCATCAAATAATAGAATCTCAAACTTAGGCATAGGCATACCAGACATACCTTCTTCAGACATCTTGAAACACTGCTTCACGATCTCTGGAGCCCACGATCCTTAAACCTCGAACATCGCTCTGATACCACTTGTTTGAAAAAAAAAACAACACCCACACACAATAATCATACACAAAACAGCAAGCTCAAATCAAGAATAAGAACACACAAATATATTTGGTTCGGCCCAACTCAAAATGGTCTACTCCAAACCTAATCCATTATCAAATAAATCTTTACAATTGTGAGACTTTTAGACCTACTCCAAACCTAATCCACTATCAAATAAATCTTTACAATTGTGAGACTTTTAGAATGAGAAAAGTCTTTTAAAACTCTTTACTCAAAACTTAACCCAAAACCCAATTACACCCTTTTAATAACCTACTCACTTAGCCATTCTCTTGGTGTCTAATTCTCTGGGATTACCAAACTAAAAAAAAAATACCTTATTTATAAGGGTGAAATCCCTTATACTTTTACTAAACTCCCGATGTGGGATACTGAACAAATTCAAAACTCACTAACTTTCAATGTGAGATTATGAGATTCAAGGCAAATCCCAATAAATCCCAACATTTTCATGGTTTATATTTTGATTCTGTTCATGATTGTTTACGCATATGTTTAATGGGTACTCCTTGTTTTCCTGTTTTATCTCAGGGCATTTGATTTATTTCACTTGATACCTATTTAAAAGTATAACGTGTTTTAGCATTACCATGTGGACTTAATTTGAATACTTAGAAAATGGTTGATTGATCCTTGTTGCTTCGTAGGGAGATTAGACAAGTTATAATGATTCAAAGATATTTTAGATTGGGGTAGACAAATCGTTAAGTTAGGCTTTTGAAAAGCTTGATAGAGTAGACTGAAAGAATTGTAGAATTCTATGCTCGTTGACGTTTAGACAGATTAGTTTGCACTTCTGCCAGCATATATCTATGAAATTATTTCCTAGACTATGGAAATTACCTTTGTACAATTATATCTGCAGTTCATTCTGTTAACAGAAAGGCTCTGTTTTCTTTTTCTCTGTATAAGTGATTCACATTTGCTGTCTTCACGATTCATAATCTGTTTCTTTTGCACTTTTTCCCCAAATTAAAACAGTTTGTAGATGTTTCTACTTCGAAGACCGGTAAACATGGACATGCAAAGTGCCACTTTGTGGGCATTGATATCTTACTGGGAAGAAACTTTAAGATATTGTTCCTTCATCCAACATTTGTGATGTAATGTTATTCTTAAGTTCTGATGTTATAACTTATAACCTTTACTCCCTCTCAATTCACGCCTTTCTTCTGCATAAGCAGCTAATTTACTTGTTTTCTATCTTCTCTCACAGGTTCCCCATGTTAATCGTACTGACTATCAGCTGATCGATATATCTGAAGATGGTTTTGTAAGTTGTCTTTGTGCATGTGTTCATAACTAGATGCCTCTTCTTTTATTGGTTCCAATGATTAGTTTTATATGTGAACCAAATATGACCTATCAGAAAGATGACAGTCGAATTATAGTGGTTAATTGAATGGACTTGGGTATCCTATAGGTGAGTCTCTTAACTGAAAATGGAAACACCAAGGATGACCTGAGGCTTCCCACCGATGAAAATCTTCTTAACCAGTCATAAGGATAGTCTGAGTTTCTGCAGCCATTTTTATACTTATAACTCATTTTTCTATCTTGTGATTAAATTCTGTTTTTATACTTACCTGTTTACAGATTAAAGATGGATTTGCTGAAGGAAAGGACCTTGTGGTGACGGTCATGTCTGCAATGGGAGAGGAGCAGATTTGTGCTCTTAAGGACATTGGTCCTAAAAATTGAATATAAGCATTTGTACAAGAAACCCTTATTCAGATGGTATTATAACATTGCAATCTTTAGGTTTGTAGATAGCTGCTGATCCCTGGATGAAGGGAACTTGTATCAACAGCAGGATGGGACTTATATATAGTCTTATTTCTATGTCCTATTCATTAATGATTGGTTGGGTTTGAGCATCAATTTAAGATCTTTGAGATATATCATGTTTCCTTAAAGTTAAGATCGTTGAGATATATCATGTTTCGTTAAACATGATAAAAATGTTTCTTTTTTCCAATCGCAACTCAGTGTTACAATGGGGATTGTTCTTAAAGTCAATTTTTTGTTTATTGCTGGAATTTCTGTTGGTATTTATAGACCCTCTCTGTAGTGATGCTCACGCCATATCTTAGAGGAAGGTTGGATTTATCATAGCAATCCTGATTCGTGATATCTTGAGCCCTGGACCCTTGAACCTCCCCCGGAATATTAGCTGAAGAAATCTATGATTTAGTAGAATTATGATGTATTTTGTTTTCGCGACACCAAAACCAGATATACAAGTTGTGAAAACAATTCCTTTTATAAAGCAGTGGCATAAAGTTGCCATTTTATATTCAGTTAAATTTAAAAAAATATGCCATTTATACTAATTCCTTGGGCATCGATTTGATGGTTCTTCAATAAAAAAGAAATATATATATATATATATATATATGTATACATGTAATCATGAGGCAACATAATTTTCAACAGAAACTAATCATTAAGATAATTTACTCCTACCTGAAGTGCCATTGATGTAAGAGGCAAATCCCCAAAAGGTCATTACCAGAGAGAGGATCTTGAATCCGCTCATGGGGTCATGTAACAGTATGATAGCGGCAATGCTTGTGATTGGTACCCTAACTGCATTAAGGACCCCAGCCATCACAGTGGAAGCCAAGAAAAGCACAGCAGTGCCTCCTAACACACCCAACTGAAACGTAATTGCACTCCAAATAAGAACCAGATTGTATGCAGTTTCCCCGCCTTTGAAAGTTTTAGCCTCAGATACCATTCCTTGGAAATCCTTGTTCAATATGACCCCTATAGTAGTAAACACAAAGGCAAAGAAAGAAACCATGACTTGTTGCTCCAAAACAACATGGAAGGACCTTCTGCCCAACAACTTCACAAAAACCAACTCTGAAAGAGCAAATATAAGGCCATGGAGTGCTGATCCCAGGATATCCCATACAACACCCCAAATATATTGGCTGTTAGTGACACTGGCATACCTGTCAGAATCTGAATCCAATGCAATCATGGTCATAGCAGCAGTTATTATCACAATAGCATTAGTAATTGAAGCATTCAGTTTGTTCTTCACAATCAAGAAACCGAACAGTGCAGAAAACACTAGGGATGATGATGCCAAAAGAGCTGCAGTTGATGCCGGGAGGTAAGCATAGGCATATGCGTACATGAGATTGTCAGCAGCACTTAAGAACCCCAGAAAAACATAAGAAAGGAAGAGATATAAGTTGAGAGGAGTTGGGGCAGTTTTAAAAAAGAGGTATGTAGGAAATAAGATTAGAGCAGGAATAGGCCATCCGGCAACGGCTACCCATGAAATGATCCACTTGCTGTTTCCCCCATTAGCATAATAGACACGAGATAGAAGGCTTGAAGCAGGAAATGCCACAAGCATTCCCAAACTGCTTACAAATAAAAGAATCCAATGCGAAATTGGCTTGCTTTTATATCCTTCCCAAGCCATGGTCTGAAACTTGGAAACCCATTCTAACAGTGACAAAGAACTTCCTAATGAGACCTCCTCCTCCATTCTATCTCCTAACATGAATCAAAGAGAAAGGAAAGTTAACTTCTCCCTCTTTAATTCTAGAGCTTATGCAACCATATGCAAACTGAAAGTCACTAAAGCAAACAACAAATCAACAACCCAAAAAACAGAAAACATGAAGGACTTTATTATTATTAACCCACACAAAATTCAACAAGAATTATACTGAAAAAAACTAGTCACTACTAGAAGTACAAAGAACGAACCTTCCTCGAGTAGCAGGTCTTCCATTTACCATAAGGGGTGAAGACAAAGGGAGCGGGTAGAGGCCACAACTTTTCAATATTTCAACTCTTATTATATCAGTGATTGATCTCACCAAATTCATACTTTAATCTCTTGCCCCCATTCAAATTATTGTATTAATCTCCTTTACCCATTTTCTGTTTTCGTCCTTGTCCATAAGTACTACTATATTAGCATTTTAATATTCCACATTTTCTTAAATCATTTTATAGTGGATTATTTATGTATGGCTGTAAAGCCTTAAACAAAGATGGGTGTCACAGCATTTATAATTAAATTTAGACAAGATGGGGCCGGATTCCGGACAGTGCAACGTTAAACGTTTGGTAGCCAATAATCAACATTGATATTGATATTGATATATTCCACCACTTTCTTTCCACCTTCCATTTCTGCAACCCTATTCCATTGCCTCCAGTTCCATGGTACACCAAACATGCCATTCACTACTATTAACCATTCATTTCTTTTTTTTTTTTTTTTTTTTACCAATAGAAGAATTAAATTGGGTATAGATGACAAGTTTTTTTTTTCTTCTTCACTCGCGTCATGCTTCGTAAGAACAGAGAAAATGTTGAAGTTAGTTTTTTGAATTCCCCTCTTTTCCCATGTTTTGAACTAGCCAGTGATTGGGTGAAAAGATTTCAATCCTGCTTGGGCTTCTGTCAACAATTGGACCTCAACATTTCTCCCATTGGATTTGTATCCTGTACCACGCCCATTATCCAGCACGCTTGTCACTTAACCCTTTCTCTCTGGCTAGTAATTGACGCATGCATGATTATAATGAATTATAATGCCTTTTTATTAAAAATTTACAAATATACTAATATTTAATTCAATAATTGATCCATAAATTTTTTATTTTAAAACATAAATTTTAATAATTCATCATTCTCAAATAAAAAAGAAGTAGACAGATTCCTTTAAAAAATTCAGAAAGATTCAAAGATGGACTTTCCTTTCCCTACCTAGAAAGCCGCATAATGAAAACAAAAATATATAAAATTGAAAATTGCTATTTAGGCGTTCTTATTACTATTATATTTGTATAAAAATGATGGGCGAAATTTCACAAAAAAAAAAAAAAAAAAACGACTTTGTTCATTTAAATGAGATAAATTTAACCACTAATATAAAAGGGTCTTTCCATTGTTTTATCGTTTGCTGAAACTTTTATAAATTCATATAGTCCAAAGTGTTTTCTAGTGATTATTTGGATCTAAAATCAACATTATTATTATTTTCTAATAATATACAAGTAGTATTTTAAACGAGGAATGAGACATCCTTCCATGACATGCATTTTGTACTAGTTTTTATTGCATATTTTCTGCATGAAATGTAACCGAAAAAAAAAAAATCAGTTATAAGAGGTTTGAAAAATGCCAAAAACAAAAAAAAGTTCAAAATCAAAATCAATGACAGTTTATTTTCTTTAAAGTTTTGGTGTTTGGGGATTTATTAATACTGCACTTACCTAAAAAGACATCTAAACATAAATTATTCTTATTATCAACCTTTTAGATGTTTTATTTAAATCCAAAATAGCTAGTATTTATCCATGAAAGCTACATCATGAAACATTAAAAATGCAAAACTTTAATTTTTATTGTCAAAATAAACAATATAAGTAAAATTATCTTTATGAACATTTTAAATTTCACTAATAAAATTTAAAAATTGTTAAGTATATTTAACTCATTAACAAATTAAAATTATAAATAAAATGATACCTCGTAATTTTTTTATAATAAATAAGTATATTTTTATTTAATGCATAAAAAATTAAAATTTTAATACATATATAATAAAATTTTAATTTTTTTATAAAATTTAAAATTTTTATAAATATTATATAAAATAAAAATCCTAGAAAATTTTGAAATATTTGATAAAAAGAGCAAACAAATTATAAAAATTCAATATCGCAATAATTTTTGTACTCAGTAGTTCCCAATTTTGTGACACATTAATCTTGGGAACGAGAGCACCATAAAAAAAAATCACAAGTGTTGAAAAGAAAAGAAAAAAAAAAAGGAAAAAAAGGGGCCACAGTTGTGTGCGTCAGGTCAACAGTCCCAGTAACAAAAGAATCCCTGAAAAAACGGCGTGAATCAAAAGAAAACGTCGAGTCAAGAAAATGAACGGCGAACTCCTCATCTAAAGTAACGGAGAAATCAACGGCGTGTACGTTACACAGAAAAACCACCTGCGACAGAAACCCCAGTCAATTCAAGTCAAACACACATATACCTCTTTCTCTCCCTTTCTTCTAAAGCAACCCTTCTCTCTCCTAAAGTACTTCGATACCGTTTTGCTTTTAAATATTATTAAAACGACACAGTTCCGATTTTTCTCGGTCTGAAAAAATAGAATCGGACTTTTAGAACGAACAGAAGAAAGAAGAAAAGAGCAGGAGAAAAATTCTGCTTAGTTTATGCTGTCTTTCGCTTAAGAAAAATTGGGCATGGCTGAGACTCAGAGCCAAACGCAGCAGACGAAACAACTTGAGGAACAGCAAAACGACGATTTAGAAGCAGAAGAGGAAGTAGAAGAAGAGGACGAGTTGGAGGATGAAGATGAAGATGAAGAAGGAGTGAGTCGAGTTAGTGAGTCACAAGGTGCTGGAGCGGCGTCTTCGAGTGATGCTAAGTTGAGAGACTCTCAATTGGAAACCCAAACGAATGATCGTTCTGAGGGTAAGTATTTGTTTTTTTATGGAATAATTTCGTTCTTTTCGCCTAATTTTAAAAGAAGTAAGCTTTTCTTTATTTTTTAAAGTTGGAATTGTTTTGAGAGAGTATGGGATGATCTCTCAGGGTTGCAGGAGAATTATACTGCAGAATCGAAGGAAGGAGCTGAAATTAAGGTTAGGAGTTTAGTTTTTTAGCTACTCATTAGACTTTCATTCCTTTTTTTTTTTTATTGAAAAATTGCTATTATGGTGTTTTATTGTTCTTATTTTGATCTGTTTGCTTAAGCCCGCAGTTTTTGTTGTGTTATTCTGCGCGTAGTTTGGTTTCTTAGAGGTATTGATTATCATACCGATTTCCTGACAGTGTTTTTAGGGGGCTTCTGTTATTTACAAGGAAATTAAAATTAGATTTCACTTATGGTGTATGAATTGTTGACTTTTTTGCCTTAAAAGATTTTCCTTTTATGCTATCTAGTCCTGAATTATGCTATTTAATAACTGCTTTGCACTTGAAATAATGTGCTGAGTGACACACAAAATGCTTCTCTTCTCTCACTTTGACTTTCTATCATCCAGGGTCGCGTTTTTGTTTTTAAGGATGTCAGAGGTTCATGAAATGACTGTTAATTAAGAATTATTTTAGCGTTGAACTAGTAGCCAACGGGACCCTTGGTCTTTTGGTAAAGGGACAAGTTAGTTAAGGACCTCCGAATTTGCAAGGTAGAATGCCCCATCATCCTGTATGCATGTGCATTCACACACACACACATAAAACACCTTTGGTTCAGTAAAGGTAATTATAGGATGTGGTAGCACCTCATGAAGTGTGCTTCTTAGTTATTAAAGTTTTGATCTTTAGAAGCCGATTGAGACCTAATCTCTTTCTGATAATGATCTTTTTTTTTTTGCAAATTTGCCGGTTATTTTGTATGAGCTTAAGGCTCTATCTTTGATATAAAAGTGGAGGCTGAGGGATAAAGCATGTATTAACTTCAATGGCAAATAGATAGGATAAAGCATGCGGAAATCATTCCTGCCAACATTTAATGATCCTTGTCAAAGCTCTGCCGGTTATAACTTCAATTTTGTTGACTTTTATTCTTTTGGTGATGATATTTGCTGTCCTTCAAGTTAGAGCATTGAATGAGTTCTTCAAAACATTTACATTGATGTGAAGATCTATGTGGCCATCAATTTTCTGGGACCTGCATGTCTGATTCATTTATTTTCTTGTAGAGATCAGAAAACAAACTCATAAAAATACCAGAAATGAGAAAGAACATATGTACAATTAAATTTCTCAGCGATTGAATGGTTCTTTCAATCAAGTTTTTCTTTGTAGGAGCAAGTTAAGACAGCTCACCAGGAAGCTTCACCTAGTTTGGCTGTCCAGGGTACAGAAGCTCTGGCACAAAATCAGCTCGAGTCATCTGTTTCTCCAACTTCTTTGCCACAACTGTTGCCAAATTATGTTTCACGAAGTATATCAACTGCTTCCACTGTAACTCTACCAGAACAAAGCCTTTCAGATCAGAAGGTTAATGGCGCATCCGTGCCAGAAGCAAACCAGCAAAAATCCTCCAATCTTAAAATGGTATCTGTTGTTCCCATTGTGAAGACGCCAGTGTCTGATGGTTACAATTGGCGGAAATATGGTCAGAAGCAAGTGAAGAGTCCTAAAGGTTCTCGAAGCTATTACAAATGCACATTCTCTGATTGTTGGGCCAAAAAGATAGAATGCTCTGATCACACAGGCCATATAATAGAGATTCTTAATAAAGGCATGCATAGTCATGAACCACCACAGAAAAATAACTTTACAAGGGAAAGTAAGATCGCATCATTTGCTGTGCCTGTTTCACGGAAGATTGTTACGGCACAGCCCGTCAGAATACCTAATGATTCTGATCCATCGACATCTTCTAAAGAATCTCTACCTCAAACAATTGTAAATCCTGAAAGAAAGCGACAGAGTTCAGGTAGCTTTGATGAGAATGGTGATGTACAAGTGAAGGAAGAGCTTTTGAGTGAACCAGGACCAAGAAAAAGGCAAGCTTTCCTGTGAATTTGTCTGTGCCTTTTTTTCCCTTCATGACATATGTGTGTTGTGTATTGTTAATGGAAAAGACTGTCTGCAAATCTGGTTTTAATAGTTTCCCATTGTTCTTTATGACCAGGATGAAGAAAGGCAATGCAGTTTGTTCTGGTTCTGTCCTAAAAGCTGGGAAAAAACCTAAATTTGTTGTGCATGCAGCCGGTGATGTAGGGATCTCTGGTGATGGATACAGATGGCGAAAATATGGACAGAAAATGGTAAAAGGAAATCCTAATCCCAGGTACCTATTGACTTCTCAGTATTTTTTCTTAAAGGTTTTATTGTTTTATCCCTTTAAACCATTTCTCAATGTATATGACTGCTCAGGCATGTTGCTACTTTGTCTACTTGTTATCATTGTAATTTTACGTTATGGTGGTTTGCTTCGTTTACATGTCTTAGTATGGGACCCTTGAGGTTTACTGTATTATCTTTTTTTTTTTTTTAAATATTGGAAAAATCATTCATTTGGACAATATAGTTTGATTACAATTAATACTAAAAAGTTCCTGTGGTTTTTGTGTTTGCTTTTGGTCTCAGCACTCATATCCCTTTTAGTAAAGCCATGTAGGTTCATTTTATTTTTTAATGTTGTCGTTTTATTCATGAATACATCTCTACCAAACCGGTGTGACGCATTCTGTGAAGCAGATGTTCAAGAGTATGCATTTATGAGGTTTTTTTGTTCTCAGGATGACCAGTTTGTAGCCTTCCAATTTCAATCTTGAACTCAGTTATTACATTCCTATTTACTTGAACGCCTATGCATTCTGTTGGTTTTATTCTGATCTTTTTGTTAACGAATGTTTTCTAGGAATTACTATAGATGCACTTCTGCTGGGTGTCCTGTTCGTAAGCATATTGAGACAGCTGTAGATAATACAAATGCTGTCATTATAACATATAAAGGAGTTCATGACCATGACGTGCCTGTACCAAAGAAGCGACATGGTCCGCCAAGTGCTCCTCTTGTTGCTGCTGCTGCTCCTGCTTCTATGAACAACTTACAACTTAAAAAAACTGATGGAGTGCAAAACCAAGTTCCATTAAAACAATGGTCAGTGGGTACAGAAGGTGAATTGACTAGTGAGGCCCTAGACCTTGGAGGTGAGAAGGCTATGGAATCAGCTCGAACGCTTCTTAGTATTGGATTTGAAATCAAGCCATGCTGAACTTAATCGGCTTTTATGTTGTTAACATCAAGCATGTCACCATATAAATTATTGAATGATCAGGTTTGATTTTTCGTACTTTTAGTTTTTCTTGTTATTGCTCTAATTTCCGGTGAGGCTGTATAGTTCCTGTTGTGTTCCCTCTCAATCTAGTTGGAACAAGGTTATAGTAGTGAAAACAATAAACATTTGGTTGGCAACCCTTTTCTTGCGATCTTAGTTGGAACCATGTTCAATTCTCTCTCTCTCTCTCTCTCTCTCTCTCTCTCTTTTGCCGGAATTTAAGAGCGGCGGTTATGCTCGTTATGAATGTTTGTTGGGAGACAGTGATATCCAGTTCACAAGGCAATTTTTCTTCTGTGGGTCATAATTTAGACTGTTATGCTAGATGTTTTTGGCCTTTTGTTATGCTATCAATTAGGTTTTTTTCCCCAAAATTTAAGTGATTATTAGTAGATAGCAAGTCAGATCCACTTATTATCCCCTTTTTTTTTTTGTCAAATATAATTTAAAATTTAATTTAATTTAATTGATTCATACAGGTATTTTTAAAAAATAATATTCAATAAATTTAAATTTAAATAATAATATATTATTAATTCCTTTTCATATCTTCAGTTTCCTATGTTAAAAAAAAAAAAATTGAATTCAAATCAAAACATTATAATTTCTCCTTTTATCTTCAGTCACCTTCGTAAGAAAAAGGTTAAACGCACCTAATTCTAGGTTAATACTTATGTGGCTATATGCATTCAATGCTGGGACGCAATTGATTTAATTAAATAATACACCAAAAAACTTTCTGTCGGTCTTTTTTGTGGTCACTGATTCTATTCTTTGGAGGTGGCTTTGACCTAAATTTGATTTGTTTACTTTGATGAGATGAGAATTGATAATGTTTATTTATCGTCCTATTCCCATAAAAGGTCGTTGGTCAATCTGATTTACCCAAAAAAGGTTGCTTCAAAGATGAAACTATAATTTTTAATCTGTCAAAAATCAAAATTCGCTTTGTCTGATTTGTTTCTTTTGACAAGATGGAAAATGTGAAATCAAAATTTGATGCTAAAGTATTTTGAGGCCATGGTAAGTCTACAGTAAAATCTAGTGGTTGATTTCCTCTTTTTCATGCTTCCTGTTTTATCTTTTGCTTTTGTCATCCACGAAGTTGATTATAGATTTTGTATTAAAAAGGTGCACGCTTTCATGCACTACTGCAAACAATTTCTGAATTGGTAATTTGGCAATGGCAACCCACGATCAAAACCCTTTAGACATTTCAAAATGATATATTGATTCTTATGTCCAAATTGGAGTTAAGATTTGTGACTTTTGCCATGTTCTATGTCAAAGAACAACCAAATTTAATGAAAAATTTCTATAAATCTAATATTAGAGAAGACAAATCTAATGTAAGTTTTCTCTAAGACCTTTTGTTTATCCTGACTACCTGACTATGGGATAGCCTTCCCAAACCCGAAAAAAAAAATTTTTTAGCCAAAAAAATTCTTAATTTGGGACTTGAGTTAATTCATCTATCTTGGCAAGGTCGAGAATATGTGCTTTCCTTTTAATTGTTAATATAAAGGGAATTAATTGAAGAGACTTCAAATTTCTAAGAAAGCATCTACCGGTTACCGTCCGGATCTAATGCAAAGTACAGCTTGAAATTTTCTAGGCTTTTTCAGACAAAGCATCCATCAAGCCATTATATCTCAGTACAAGAAGGAAACAGAGGAACCCTACAACATTGGCAAATACTGGGTCCAACAGAACAAGCATGTCTTGTAAGATGAAGTCCCCCCTCGCTTAGGACACAAATTTTGCTCCTAAACCCATAATTGCCATCCATTTAAAGCAAATGGATATTGTCAGTTGTCAGTCTAGGTTTTAGCTGTCCAGCAACCTACAGGGTTAACACTTAAATTATCCAACCTCAACCATAGCGTAATGATCCAGAATGGTGGCGACAGCCTGAAGCTCCTGATGGCGATGTCTACTTTATAAAAGATGTTCTCTAATTACTAACCTTTTCAACTATACCAAAAAAAAAAAAATTGTACATCATATTTTAAGACTTCTATGACAAACAGACCCCATCAACAGCTCATTCACCGGTTAATTTTAATTTACTTTTTAGAAATCTACAATCCAGCAAATTCATGATGCACTAGTATTCATGAAAATTTTATACATACCGACCTTCATTATCACCCAAAAGTAAGAGTAGTGAATCAGTAAATGTGCTAAGCTGATGATTGAACCTGGAGTGCCATCTGCCAGGAGACCAACATTATTCTGAGGAGAAACTCAATTCATCAATAGCTATGGATAATTCCGATTCGATCACATTAACATTATCGGTTCTTTTCTCTTCTGCCATATCTTTGATCCCATTTTCTTCTTTTCCTTCTGATGCTGTTATACATTCCTGGAATCTGAAACAACCTGTGAGATGGTCGTTTGTTATTCCCACCACTTGCATGAACGAGTAGATGACTGTGGGCCCCACACTTCGAAAACCCCTTCTTACCAGATCTTTGCTTATGACATCAGCTTTTGGAGTTTTAACTGGAACCTGGCGAGGATATCTGAATCTGCTAACTATAGGCTTGTGGTTAACAAAACTCCAAATATATTCATCAAATGACCCAAACTCATCTATAACCTGGCATCATCAAAACCTGCAAAAAGTTAGTTGCAATGATGATCATCGCCACTATGGAGAGTGCAATTATGGTACTTCAGTAACAAGGGCTAGAGGTTAATGATGGAAAGTAATTAAATCATATGAATGAATTGGTATTTACCAACTAAGCAAGCTGGCATCTAATGGATAGGAATAATTAAGTTTCATCAGTCACAAAATAAAATAAATATATATGATCAAATTGTGAAGTATAGTCTTGTGCTTTGTCCCATATGATTCAAACATATGCCTGGAGGGTTTAGGACCACTATCCAGCCACTTTTCACCTAACCCACTCAAATAAGAGATCACTAAGCACCTTTTATATTTGTCTAATCACTTGCTAAAACAAGAGAGAACAACGTAAGTGGTCCCTAACATTAGGTGTAACAATCAATTCAATGAATTCTGAATCAGGAAATATATGCGTAAAATAATCCCAGTAGTAAAGAAGATGGCCAGCAGTGTGCTATATCTTGCAAGATAACATATCAAATTATATTATCCACTTTGTAAACAACTTCAGTAGAGCAAACTTTTGTCATATTCCATCTAGTATACAGGCCGTTATTAGCGTACGCTGCTTACAAGTGCGTTAGGGAAGGCAGCACTACCTTTTATGACAACAAAGGTAAAAATGGTGAAAAGGAGAATGAGAATCTACCTTAGATATTTGGCGTGCATTCTCAATTATAGCTCGCAGCTTTAATTCAGATAACAAAGAACTTGCCATGCTACCAGTTGCTATTAACTTCTTCTCATTCAATTTTGATACAGCAACAGGATCAAAATCCACAAAAACTTCCCTGCATAAAAGATACACTTCAGAAATAAGTCTGCCTATTCAATGAAGCAGATGGAACTTCTACAGGAACAATACCTAAATATGTGCCTTTTGCTTAGCATAGCAGGCCATGTAAGTTCAGACAATGCACCCGAAAGTACAAGCAACTCAAACAATTTCCTGCATGTGGACAATAACATCAAGCAAACTACGCATCAATTGAAATTCTTTTTATTAGAGAGATAGCCCTTTTAATCAGTAATCAGACAGAGCAATATTGAGATCACGTACTTGTCATCATGTACAGGAACCCCCCACTCTTCATCATGGAAAGCAGCATAACTTGGATCTGATCTCAACATACAAAATTAAGTCAGCAGGAAACATGAAATAAAAGCAACCAATCAAAGCATCAAGGCAACCACAGTGGAATGCCTTCCGCCATTAAATGTAAAACTCCCTCCAAAAGTTAGGGATGACTGGAAGCTGCATCGCTAACAAATTGAAATAGTCTGCTAGACAGTCTTTCACTTTGAATATAATGCCTGCACCTCTGAAAGCATAACTAATTTGCACTCATGCTATTACTGCCATGATGTATTTGGTGATAACTAAGCAAAACTTACAAATATTAAGTAAATGGATTGTGCATTAAGTCAGAAAGATAAATGTATGGCAATTTAACCTATTGGTCAATTTAAATCATGAAAATCTGTAAAAATAGTATCAAGTTACAACATTTATTCATTTGATAGCAATAGAAGAATTGTAGCATAAATTCCTTTTTAAAGGATTAGGAAAATCAGAGGACCAACATATCTAACAAACTTCTTATTTAGAGTAGCTCCACTAGCTCTATTCTGGTCTTGGGCTGAAAAAGTGGTTTCAAATCAATGGCCAGCATAATATAGAGTTGCGCTAGAATGATTAATGAACCAGACCAAACCCAAAAGAATCACCCTTTGGAATCGCATACAAGATAAAGCAAACTCATGACTTGTTTCACTGCCTTAGTTCACATGACAAATCTAGTGCATAATAATGTTTTGGTTGTAGAAAACCAATAAATCTTTGGAGATTAGTGTATGTATGAATAAGAAAATCAGATTTCCATCAACACTGTAAAGTTTGGCAATAATAATAACAAGAAAAAAAAAAGCACTATTTAGTTTTGCCTAAGTTAAAAAATTGAGATGCAACCTAGTTGGTTCATTTGTGTACATGCTGAACCTTCCTTGGGCAATATAACTATATTTATTGAACCTAACCTAATACCGCAGCTTCACGATTGGAGAAGTGAAAAGTATAAATTATACAAAGAATTGCTTTGTTCTTAGTGCAGAACCACAAAAATTATATCCTATTCCTATTGGCCGTGGCCATGGCCATCCCAAATAAGTCCTTTCTTTATGACATTCAGAAGGTATATGCAGGGGAATTTGTTCTAACCTAATTCTTAAAGAAAGCTTTTGCAGCTATTACTACAATTGCAAGCAGTCTTATGAAGAAAATGATGACACAAAATTTCTAATCAATCTTGACAAAACACAGAGAAATTATAGGGCACAGCAACACACCTGTATTTGGTGTCACCCACGCACATCTCTTCTTCTGATGTGAACCATCAGGTGGCGAATCCAAACCACCATCAGAAACAACGCTTCTCGGCTTTGATGCATATGGCTTCCTCCTGCTTTCTACACTATTTGACCGAATTAACCTACCAGTAGATGCTCGACTGTGAAATGAATCCGTGGAAGCATCCGATGAACACGAAGCATTTAGTGATAAATTAGAAAGTAACAACTGCTCATGCCGACGAAGCACTGAAGGAACACTAACAGAATGTGTTTTTGGAGAAAGTGAACTAACAGTAGATGATGGAACGACTCTTTTCTCCTCTGCTAAAGTGACCTTAACTGGACACTTTTCAACCTTTGTCAAAGGCTTTGAAGCTGGTTTTCTTGCACCCAATGAACCCGCCTGGTTCCCCGCAGGTCCCAGTACGGGCCTTGCCTCAGAATCAGCCACATTCATTGACCTCAATCTCGGAGCACTGGACATAGATTAAGAAATCTTTCAAATAAACACTAATTATCAAGATCTCGGCTTTTTTTAACCTCAAAGCAGTCCTAAGTTCTCACTTTACCAGCTCTTTGCTTCACTCCAATCCTCAACATTGCCTATTCAATCCTCAAAATCATAAAAACCCACTAATAAAATCCAGTAGAATCATCACAATCCTCATAAATACAAACCTTAAACCACTTCAACAATTGCGGAGGTATTTTGAACTTACAGTACACACATTCATCAAAGTAGTCCTTTGAAAACTCAAAATAGATCTAGCTTTTCACCCTACAAAACTTTCCTAAAATTTACAATTCTATCACTCTAAGCTCTCTCTCATTACCATCGGAAACACACCTCGCAGAAACCCTCATTTCCTCCATCCTCAAAGTCTTCAAAAATCAGCTCGAAAACCCTAAAACCCAATACCCACACCAATTAGCCAAAGTTAAACAAAAATGAGATCACTTTTATAAGAAACAGTAGCTAAAGGTTTAAACTTTAAAGATCCAAAAAAAAAAAAAAGGAAAAGAATGGGATCACGTTGTATATTCATTTAAAGCATTCAAATTTAGCCTCGAAAAACAGAGATTCCAGTCTGCATTGTGGAAAACGAGAGAGAGTATTTCTGTTACCTGAAAAGAAAAAGGTTTTGTAGTATTTGTTTATGAAACTGTGTCGTTCGGTTTCTGTCACTGTCTTAAGAAAAAAGCTGACACATTTGCTGTCAATTCCATACTTTTTTTCTCTTTATTTTCCCAAGAAAATGCGGGAAAGTGACTGAGAAAACTCGACCGGAGACTTGAAGATAAACCAAAAAAAATGGGTTTGATCTATGAGAATTGAATTTCGCTCTCTACGTCACTATATCTATAATTTACAGGGAAGTAAAGAACAATGGAAGAAAGAGGAACGTGAAGATTGGCCTTTCGTTTACGGTATTATATTTGAGAGTGACCGGTTTATTACCTGCTATTCCCAGTAATTTTAGGATTCTTTTTTTTGCAAAGTTTATGAAAATGTATTTGCTTTTTAGATTTGTTTTTTAAATATTTATTAAACAATTTATCTAGAAATAATGCAATAAAAATTATTTTTATGCAATTTTATTGCATGAAGATTTAAATATTGGTAAAACAGAGGATATGTAATTAATATTTTGTTAGTTGGCTTAGTCACAAATTTAATATATGATAATTTTAGTTATGCATTTTAAATTTTAATTAATTAAAGTACTTGCTAAAATCAAAATCATAAATCAGTCATCAAAATTTTGATTTCATACTTTCAAATTTGATTGATTAATTTTAATCTTGATATGAAACTCTTTATGTATACATATATATTTTAACATCATCAAATTAAATTATTAGATATCCTATATAATATCACAATATTTAAAGTTAAGGGGTATTGTTATTTCATAATAAAAAGAAGAGTGAGTTACAAAAATGATAAAATAGAAAAATAAGAGATGACAGAGAAAAGAAAAATCAGTTTCATTTTCTTGCAATAATGTTAAATTGAAAGTTGAAACTCAAAAAAAGAAATAAAAAGGAAAAACAACAATTGAAAAGAATTATCTTAGTCATTTTCTTTTTAGTACAAAGATAGTGGTTTAACACTAATTAACTAATAAAGGTCCGAGACTTACTTAAACCATCAAGATTACTCTTAATTGATTTTTTTTTCTAAGATGAACTAGAATTATAAAAATTTCAAAGTTATCACAGTGTGTCCAACGGATCACAAAGTCTTCACAAAAAAATCTTAATTCTTCTTTTTTGGTTGTAAAAAGAAGTTAAATAAAAAACAAGAAATAGATAAATATATATTTTTTAAGAATAGAAATAGATATTGTTGCATAAAAAGAATATTGAGTTTTAGTATAAAGGATAATTAGCTGTGACTTATTAGGTGACAAAATAATCATCTAATCTAATTATATAAGAAAGAACAAGAAGATTTTGTAATTACTATATTAATAATTTGATGGTACCTAGATTTGACTTTTGTGAAGGTTAATGAAAGTAAATAATAGACTGAGTCTATTTATTTTTTCAAATAATGTGTATGATTGTATATGTATAGCTTAATGACGGTTTGGTGAAACAAATAATTTTTTAGTCCGCCTTATTTTTAATCCGATGATGTTGAATGTTGAAATTTGTTGTATAATAATTTACTTTCCAAGTTGAGATTTCATCCTGTAAAAAAAAAAAAAAAAAAAAAAAAACCAGCTCTTTCGTCTCGTTTGCCAAGAAAGACGATGGTTTTTACTTGACGCCAGGCAGGGGAAGTCCCCGCCTTAATTGAGTTTTTGAGTCCGGGCTAAGCTAAGCAAACAACTTCAGCTTCCATCGACAGCTTCATCTGGCTCTGCTTAAGCAATTAGACTCCATAAAAAACGTGGGTTTGCTTTCAGCAAACAAATCAATCGAGAAACTTGCTCAATCTTTGCCGGCTTTGCCTATTGAAACAAGAAAACTCAGTGCTCTTATCGGTTGTCGTATTTGCGCCACCACCACCATTTCCATACATATCTTAAGGGATAATTAATTCGTAGAATTTTATATTTAAAAAAAAATATGATTTTAAAAAAATATGATACATTAAAATTTTTTTTATTTTCAATACATCATGTATTTTTGTTTAATTGAAAAAATTCACGTATATTACTTTTTACATAATTATCATAATTTTTTTAATATATATGATGAGAATTTTTTATTTTATTTTATAAATAATAAATATCCAAATAACAAATAATATCTTTTGTAACAAAAAAATATCAAAATATTTTATTTAATTGTTATTTTTATTTATAAAATATCATCAATTAAGGTATTTGGCACTTTATACGTCTTAATTAATAGGATTATTTAAGAAATTTTTGTACATGATTTTTTTATCGTTTAATTTTTTTATAAAATGATTATTTAAAGCATTTTTGTACAAAAAAACTTAAATAATCTATTTATAAAAAAAATTATGGGATCATTTAATATATGTTATATATAAAAACATCTTAAATAATCCTTTAACAAAAATTATGTTATGGTTCATTTAAATTATGGACATTTTATTTTTATAGAAAACATCTTAAATAATCCTTTAATAAAAATTATATTATGGTTCATTTAAATTATGGACATTTTATTTTTATAGAAAACAATTTAAATAATTTTTTTTTATTTTTACGATCCTTTAATTAAAAAAGTAAAAAGATTATTTAAAATGTTTCTATATAGAAAATGCCTAAAATAATTTATGTATAACAAAATTAAAGGATCATTTAAGGAGTGTTATATACATAAACGCCTTAAATGATTTTTTTATTTTTTTTGAATAATTTAAATTATGAATTTTTTTTATAAAAAGATTATTTAAAGTGTTTTTGTACAAAAAATGTCTTAAATAATCCTTGACGTATATGATAAAGAGATCATTTAAGGTGTTTTCTATATAAAAATGCCTTAAATGATCTTTCAATAAAAATTAAGGTGTGGATAATTTAAATTATGGATCATTTAATTTTTTTATAAAAAGATTATTTAAGTGTTTCTGTACAGAAAATATTTTAAATAATCCTTTTATAAAAAAAATAGAGAGATCATTTAAGGCATTTAGTGTACAAAAATACCTTAAATTATCTTTTTATTTTTTTATATTATGGATCATTTAAATGATCATTTTATTTTTTATAAAAATATTATTTAAGGCATTTCTATGCACAAAATACTTTAAATAATCTTTTTATAAAAAAAAGATACTTTTTAAAATAAAATTATTATTTGAGACCTAACGTCTTAAATAATCCTATTATAAAAAAATAAAATGATTATTTAGGACATTTTTTATACATAACGCCTTAAATTATCCATTTATTTTTTTTATATGATGGATCATTTAAGGTGTTTTTGTATACAAACTCCTTAAATGATTATTTTAAAAGGTTTATTCCAAGTTCTTGAATCTTAAAAAACCTAAATGGCTAATATAGTAAACAATAAAAAGCTGCATTGCGTGTAAACCCCTAAACCCATTAACCCATTTAGTTTGCCTTTAGTTTCTTTATCTCTCTTATCGCTGTCACACTTTTTTTTATCGGTATGTGCATATTTTATTCTTTTTGTACTATTTATATTCTTCAAGATAAGTCATTTTTTATTTTCCTTACTATATATATATATATTTTGTATTTTTATGCATATTCCATCGTCACCTACATCGTTCAATATTGCATGTATGGTTTTCCTTTGTTGTTTGGTTTTAGTATTGTGGTTTGCTAAATGGTTTTGTGAAAAATAGTTGTTATATTTGTACTCATTTGTTTTAAATGAAACTCTTATGATAGGTAGGAATTACAATATGACTTGTACCCATAGAATATTATTAGTTTTAGGATATTTTATGTATATTGGTCTAGTAACTATAGTGGATATTGGTTATTTTTTATTGTGTGATATTTAGAGAGACAGTTTGATGTATTTCGTATAGTTATAATCAAAATCTCAGGTATTATGAAATCCAAAGAATATATAACTCTTGCAATTGAACATAAAAAAGACATCTGTAGTGATAAAAAAAAAAGTAAAGGGCTGTGGTAAATAAATTAAAGCGACTAAGATGAAAATTCACGTCGATTTTAATCAAAGTGGGCAGCTTGGGTTAGATGAGCTGCCAAGTTGGCTAGGCACATTGGAGCGATCGTCCATAATAGTATTTCTGTTATGTACCATAGTTCTCAAATGGTTCTTGATGATCAAAATGATAGTATATGAGAGTTTAATATAATATGTTTATTCAATAATATCCAAAAATTTGTTAATTTGGAAATTGAATTGAATTAATGTGTTCATACTAATTGTTTTAAATTTATTAGAAATAGTTTGACGTCTCGAATGAGTATAAAAAAATTGTGTTGCAATCGGTTAAGAAAGCATTTAGAAACTTTAATAGCAAATTGACAACCTAATATATTTTATTGTTCATTGATAATAGTGATTTGTTGGCTGATCCTCAATCATCATATGCAGATGTTATCAGCTATAAATAGTGAACGCATTTTGTTCAAGATCATTTATCAAAAGAATTCTCGATATGCATACCCAGTATGTTAATTGTTTTTAATATTTTGTGTAATATATTCAATATCTTAATATGTGATTTACCTTTTTTTTTTCCAAAAAAATCAAAGAACAAAAAAACATTTGGGCCAAACAAGTACATTACATCAGATATCAAGAAAGGGTTATGCAAATGTCAAGCATGATTTTGTAAGTATTCACACACTTATTTTATACGCATATATGAATATTTATGAACATTCGTTTAATAGATTCTGATTTTTATATCGCCTTAATTTTTCAGGAATCATCTAGCTCTAAAATTAAAGTTTCTAGATAAGATGTGTGGAAAATACGGCATATGCGGAAGGATGAAACATTCACAAATGAAGCAATTGAAGAAATGATTGAAAAGATTATAAGTATAACAAATTAATTTATCATGTATGATTGGCTTAGTGCTTGTATGCATGACTATATATTGTATAACTTTGTTGTTACACACCATCTTATTGTATTTTAGGATGAATTTGCTATTAAATTTGAATTTAGTGAACAACTAATTGATTATGATGAAGATCCCTTGTCTTTAGCATTAAGATCCAAAGAAAGACATAATCGAGTTCGAGAGGTTGGTAGATTTGTGTTGCCATCAAAGTTCTTCAGTAATCAACCTCAACCCCTTCTAATGAAAAATACAGAATATGAAGCAATCATTCAGTAAAAATAGCAAAGACTTAATAAACAAGAATAATGCATGAATGATCAACAACAACGACTTGCAGCTTTAGAGGTAATGTTGGCATCAATGCAGCCTAACATGCCTAAAGG